ACTAACTGCTGGGAGGTAAGGAGCAGCCCTTTGCCTTTCCGAGGCCCCAGTCGGGAGGGGGCCGCTGCTGGGAGCCTGGACTGCCGGAAGGTTACTGGGTGGAGATGTGGCCCAGGTGAGCTGGGAGTGGCGCCCGCCCAGCCTGGAGCCTCACCACCAGGGACAATATTTGCCAAGGCCTCAGGGCTAACACTTGAACAGGGAGGTGGCAAGGCTGGTGCCAGCTAGGAATCTCCACCGGGCCTGTGGTGCGCTCCAGGCTGAGGCTTGGCAGTTGGGTGGCAGGGGATACCTGGGCTGTAGAAGGTTCACGGAGAAGTCTTGACTTTTTGTTGTATGACTTTGGCCAAGTCCGTTACCTCCCTAGACTTACTTATTTATTTTTAACTGACTTTATTGGGGTGATATTGGTTAATAAAGTTATATAGGTTTCAGGTGTACAATTCTATAATATATTATCTGTATATTGTATTGTGTGTTCACTGCCCCAAGTCAAGTCTCCTTCCATCACCATTTATCCCCCGCCCCTGTACTCTCCCCTATCTCCCCCTACCTTCCTTTCCCTCTGGTAATCACCGTACTGTGATCTGTCTATAAGTTTATTTGGGGGTTGTAATTTTGTTCTTGATCCCTTCACCGTTTTCACCCAGCCCCCAACCCTCTCCCCTCTGACAACTGTCAGTCTGTTCTCTGTATCTATAAGTCTATTTCTGTTTTATTCATTCATTTATTTTGTTTATTAGATTCCACATATAAATAATATCATATGGTATTTGTCTTTCTCTTACTGGCTTATTTCACTTAGCATAATACTCTCCAGGTCCATACTACACTACAGTCTATCTATAGATTCAATACAATTCCTGTCAAGATACAAATGGCATATTTCACAGAACTAGAACAAATATTCCAAAAATGTATATAAAACAAACAAATAAAAACACCTCAAATAGTCTCAGCAATATTGAGAAAGAACAAAGTTGGAGGAATCATGCTACCTGGTATCAAAATATACTACAAGGTCATAGACATCAAAACAGCATGGTGCTGGCATAAAAACAGGGAACAGAATAGATCAATGGAACAGAATAGAGAGCTCAGAAATAAACCCATGCCTGACAAAGGAGGCAAGAACATATAATGGGATAAAGATAGTCTATTCAATAAATAGTGTTGGGGAAATTGGTCAGATACCTGCAAAAAAATGAAACTATACCACCAACTTACACCATACATAAGAATAAACTCAAAATGGATTAAAGTAGTGGTTCTCAACCTTTGGGTCGCAACCCCTTTGGGAGTCGAACGACCCTTTCACAGGGGTCGCCTAAATACATCCTGCATATCAGATATTTACATTACGATTCATAACAGTAGCAAAATTACAGTTATGAAGTAGCAACGAAAATAATTTTATGGTTGGGGGTCACCACAACATGAGGAACTGTATTAAAGGATTGCGGCATTAGGAAGGTTGAGAACCACTGGATTAAAGACTTAATATTAGACTCGAAACCATAAAAGTCCTAGAAGAAAACATGAGCAGTAAAATCTCTGACATTTCTCATAGCAATATTTTTTCTGATATATCTCCTTGGGCAAGGGAAACAAAGAAAAAATAATGAGACTATATAAAACTAAAAAAATTCTGCACAGCAAAGTAAACCATCAACAAAGTGAAAAGACAGCCCACTGAATGGGAGAACATATTTGCCAATGATACATCTGATAAGGGGTTAATATCCAAATTTATTTAAAAATTCATACAATGCAAAAGAAACAATCCAATTAAAAAATGGCCAAAGGACCTGAATAAACACTTCTCCAAAGAGAACACACAGATGGCCAATAGACATATGAAAAGATGCTCAACCTCACTAAGCATCAGAGAAATGCAAATTAAAACTACAATGAGATATCGCCTCAAATCTGTCAGAGTGGCTGCCATCAATAAATCAACAAACAAGTGTTGGTCAGGATGTGAAGAAAAGGGAACCCTTGTGCACTGATGTGAGAGAGACATCTATTTGTTGCCTCCTGCACACACCCAGACCAGGGTGGGGAATTGAGCCTGCAACTGAGGTACATGCCCTCGACTAGAATCGAACCCAGGACCCTTCAGTCCTCAGGCTGACGCTCTAATCATTGAGCCAGATCACCTAGGGCCCCATTTACTTTATAGTCTTCTTTTAAACCAGTGGTTCTCAACCTTCCTAATGCCGTGACCCTTTAATACAGTTCCTCATGTTGGGGTGACCCCCAACCATAAAATTATTTTCATCGCTACTTCATAACTGTAATTTTGCTACTGTTATGAATCATAATGTCAATATCTGATATGCAGGATGTATTTTCATTGTTACAAATTGAACATAATTAAAGCATAGTGATTAATCACAAAAACAATATGTAATTATATATGTGTTTTCCGATGGTCTTAGGCGACCGCTGTGAAAGGGTTGTTCGACTCCCAAAGGGGTCGCGACCCACAGGTTGAGAACCGCTGTTTTAAACACATAAGCCGTGGCAGAGACCCTTGAAGCCTCTTGTGGACCTCCTCCCCACGTCCTCTACAGAGATCATTGCCATCCTGAATTTTGGTTTTATCATTTTTATCTGTTTTTATTCTTTTGCTGAGTGTGTGTAAGTCTAAAAAAATATGTAGTTTGTTCTTACTTTAAAAGTTGTATACAAATGGAATCATACAGCACGAATCATTCTGCAGCTTCTTCTCACTCAGCTTCAGGTTTCTGAGATTCAGTCCTCCTGATCCTTGCGGCTCCGGTCCCCACTTGCCCTGATGGGATGATGTACCACTCGATGTGAGGCTCCCATTTGCTTATTTACCCAGCCTCCTTGATGAGCACTGGGGTGGTTCCCAGTGTCTTGCTTTTCAAACAATGAATATTCTCATACGATTGTCCTTTGCACATATGTTAAGTGTTCTTCTAGGTTGCCCTAACTAGTACATAGGTAACTAGTACATAGACAGTGATGGCGAACCTATGACACGCGTGTCAGAGGTGACACAGGAACTCATTTTTTTGGTTGATTTTTCTTTGTTAAATGGCATTTAAATATATAAAATAAATATCAAAAATATAAGTCTTTGTTTTACTATGGTTGCAAATATCAAAAAATTCCTATATGTGACACGGCACCAGAGTTAAGTTAGGGTTTTTCAAAATGCTGACACGCTGAGCTCAAAAGGTTCGCCATCACTGACATAGGATATAATCATAGGGGTCATAGGATATGTAGTAACTAGTACAGTGTGTACTGAATCTTTTAAAGTTACTTCGTTTCATTATAAAAGTAGAGCTCCTCAATAAAAGAAATGATGGAAATATGTAATCTTGGGGGGAAAATACTAGTCACTAACTTTTTCTGTGTGCTTCTCATTGTGCTTACATTGTCTCAGTTGTCCCCCGCCTCCCATTTTCTTGCTGGGGAAACAGGCTTATAGAGGGTAAAGCACCTGGCCAGGTTTCTCCCATAAGTAATTGCTGAGCTGCAGCTGCAGTCCAGGGCTGTCTGCCTTCAAACCTCTTGAATGTCATGCTGCACTAGGCCACGCCAGCCACCTCACTCCATGACCCGTGATACTTGCTTTATGCAGAGCTAAAGGGGAGTCTTTGGAAGTAGAGTCACAATCATATTTGCAACTTAGAAAGATCACATTAGAAGTGCTAGCTCCCCATAGACACATTGCCTTACCCTCTGAGCCAACGCTCCCCCTGAATGGTGAAGCAGGAAGTGAAAAGCCCCTCCCCCACTGCACCAAGGCTCCTGCCATTGGTCACCAGCCCTGCTTCATGCTCCATCAGCTTAGTTCCCCCTCCAATCCTGTTTCCCCAAGGCACACTGGAGGGGCTACCGTCACCACTTGGGAGCTCAGGAATACATTGGCCTGGCCCAGCGCGGTGGCCTCAGCAGAAAGCCCTTGAAGACGCAGGGAAGCCTGCGGACAAGTGGGGACCTCAGCCTGGAGGGGGAAAGACCTGGCGAGGTTGCTTTTGCAGGAAGCATTTCTGTCTTCCAGGCTCCTGAGAGGAGCAGAATAGGCTCCTGTCTTCACTTCCTTATCTTTCAAATGTAGATAAGAGCACCTGCCTCTTGGGACTGGTGGGAGGATTGAGTGAAATAATTAGTCATCAATTTAGATAACTTAGTGATACTTCCATGGCAGTGGTGGGCGGTTGTTAGTGCTGTTATTAAATCAATGGGGCCAGCTGTCCCTAGCCTTCCAGCGCTCCCAGACAGACAGCCGCGCTCCCCTCACCCTCCCACCCCGCATCCACCATCCACCATCCACCATCCACCCAGCAGGCTGTCCAGAGGCCTGTCTTCCTGCCCTGCCCTACAGCTCCTGCCTCCTCCTCACGCGGGTATGCCTCCAGCCCTTTGCTCACACTCTGTCCCCTTCTTGGACTTTTTTCTTCATCTTGTCCTCAATTCAGTGCCATCTTTTCCAGAAAGCTTCCTTGAGAGTCCCACCCCCACTTCTGGGCCTCTTCAGCCTATTGGCTGTCACTGCCTCTGCCTGCAGCTGTCCTTCCTATAGACCAGCAGTTCTCAACCTGTGGGTCGAGAGCCCTTTGGGGGTCGAACGACCCTTTCACAGCGGTCGCCTAAGACCATCGGAAAACACATATATAATTACATATTGTTTTTGTGATTAATCACTATGCTTTAATTATGTTCAATTTGTAACAATGAAAATACATCCTGCATATCAGATATTTACATTACGATTCATAACAGTAGCAAAATTACAGTTATGAAGTAGCAACGAAAACTTTTATTGTTGGGGGTCACCACAACATGAGGAACTGTATTAAAAAGTCGCGACATTAGGAAGGTTGAGAACCACTGCTATAGACCATGAGTTCCTGGGCCTGCTCTGTGTCCCTGGGCCTGGCCCAGAGCCAGAGATTAGTGGGTATTTGGGGGGTGGGGGGTAGGAGGGTTGGGGATGGGAGGAGACCAGTCCCAGGGCCTCCCCAAAGCAGCGTCCGGCCCAGAGAGGTCAGCTCAGACCCAGCTCACTGCAGTGAAGTGGAAGAGGCGCTGGGAATATGTGCCTCTGTGTTGTCTGTCCATCTGTCTGTGCCTCTTTCTCTCCAGGTTGTTCCTTGGTAGGGGGTGAAGGTGGTGGTAGGGGGTGTTGCACAGCAATGGGAGGCAGGCTTGGCTCTGGAATTGTGTAGAGACGCACCTAAGCTAGGACAACAGATGTGACTCCCTGGGCGGAGCTGGTGGGCACTGGCTCACGCAGAATCTCGGGTTAGAACCCGCGTTTGGGCGTGTGACCTTGGCCAGGTCGCCTCTCCTCTGTGCCTCGGTCTCCTCACCTGCAGTGGGGAATGACCTCTCTTCCCATGGCTTCGTGAGGGCTCAGGGGGGAGTGCCACTTCAACACCGGGGGCCACTGTGCTCACTGCTCTCCACTGAGTCATCCAGCTGAGATGGGTGGGCTGAACACCAAGCTAGGCCCTGGGCAAGAGGAAGACACTGTCCCCGCCTCATGAAGAGAGGGACAGGGGCCGCTTGGCGTGGGGCCGTTTTGGCCACAGAAAGGAACTTGGTCTTTATCCTCAGAGTAACGAGAAGGCAGTGAAGGAGTTCAAGTCTCGGCTGTTATGAGAGGGACAGATTAGAGGGAATAACACTTCCAACATTCTTCCTTAAAAAAAACCACCGAGAGGCTGGACGGCTTACAACAAACATCCTTTAAAATACATTCCTGAGCTGCTACAAAGTAACAGAAATCCTCTTGAGCCAACAATAAAGCGGGAGCTCAAACCAGGCTGGTAAGTGAGCTGAAGCCACAGCCACCTGGGGGGATTTACAGATTCCAGGAACCCAGATCTCTGAGTTTTAACGGCCACTCAAGGGATGGGAAAGAAGGCCCTGGGCCTGCCCACCCACAGAGCCAGGGGTTGGGACAGAGCCTCCGCCCCCACAGGAACCTGGGACCTTCAAAGGGTGGCCTCCGCAAACAGGGGCCTTGACCAGGAAAAATATCCACCGCCGCAAAGGGAGACAGCCGTTCTGACGGGGACAGGAAGGTTCCCTAGAGAGTTATACATGTCGCCCTCACACAGATTTGGGGTTTGAAAACACACTACCTTTGTGGTCCTGAAAATGTTAAGTTAAAAAAGTAACTGAAGTGGTCTCAGGGTGGTGGTGCCCCAGGGAACCTGGAGAAATGAATGAAAATCCTCCCTCGAGGAACATGTCCTCATCCCAGATGATCTCATCAAATAGGAGCTCACGGTAAAAATACGAAACACACCAGCAAACAAGTCACTGTGATGGACAGGCACCAGAAGCAAGAAACAGCAGAATTCGTTTCTCTGGGAGTCTAAGATACCAGAACTGACACACCGACTATAAATAATTGTGTTTAAAATGTGTAAAGAAATCAAAAGTGGACTTGGAACAATAAAGCAGGGAAGAAAATACTGCCCACGATGGCCAAGCAGATTTGAAAAAGAACAAAGTGGAATTTCTGGAGATGAAAACTAGAACCACTGAAATGAAAAACTCAGTAGACAGGATAAGTAGCAGATTAGACACATCTAAAGAGAATTCGTGAAATGGAAAAGCTAAAGAAATTACTCAGACTCTAACAGAGAGAGTCAAAGAGGTAGAGTTGAGAGACATGAAACATAGAATAAAATGGTCTAACACAGAGAGAGAAGGGATAGGAGGGGCGGGAGTGGAGGGGGAGTCTCCATCAGACGGGCCTGCACTGGAGCACTGGGCCCTGAGGGGATGGGTTAAGAGTTGTTCAGAAGGGAGAATTGATAGGGCGTAGGGATGGAGTAGGAGAGAGAGGCCAGGGAGAGGGATCTGTGAAGGATGACTATCAGATTTCTGGCTTCAAGCCCTGGGTAGAGGGGTGTCATTAAAGACTGGGTGAGAACAGATGAGGGAGAACAAACAAGAGTTCATTTCTAAACAATTTGCCTGGGAAGATCTGCTGATGCATCACAGAGGGGGAGACATTAGAGCTGGGCCTTAAGGTATGTGTAGGAGTTCACCTGGTGGAGAAAGGACTTTCTCTTTTTTGGAGGAAAAGGATCTCCTTTCAGCAAGATCGTCGAGGCCCATTTTGGAACCTTTGCTCACTCAAAAGAGACATCTTGAGAAGAGACATTTTCAACATCTTCAGATAGGACTTTGGGATCTCCTAGTTTCATCTCTCATTTTCAAATGAGGAAGCTGAGGTCCAGAAAGGTCAGAGGTTTGTTCTCCTAGCCTAAGATTCTTCATTCATTCATTCACTTAATATTTATAAAAAACTTACTTTGTACCAAGATACCAGATGCTGGGGATACAGCAGTGAACAAAACAAAGCTTCCTGCCCTCAGGAGGCTTATATTTTAGTGGAGACAGACTATAAACACAAAAATAAGTTAAAAGTGTATGTCAGAAGATGGTAAGAGCTATGGAGAAGTGTAAGGACTGGAATATGTTGGAGATGCCACTGGGAAGGTGACCCTTGAGCATAAAAGGCCCCTGGCAGCTCCTACGTTCCGCCCACTGGAGCCCATTGTGACAGTGTCTCTGGGTTCTAGAGTGCAGGCCCGAGGGGGCAGGAGAAGGCCTGGAGAAGGAGGGAGAAAGGGACGGACGAGGAATTTAGTGGGTGGGCTGTGCCCCCCAGAGGGGGGCAGAAAGGCCCAATGGGTCAGAAGGGCCACAAAGATTCTCTTTACCCTCATGATAGGTAAGATAAATTTATTTCTGAGCTTTCCTGGCTCCCCTGCCCTCACTCCCCCAAACCTCTCCCCATTCTCAGATGTCACCCCATTCTGCTCTCCTCCCACTTTAGGAACACTTAGAGGTGGGTCCAAATTGTCCTTGTGTCCCAGCAGGCAGCCTGGAGGAGCTCATGACAGGCCTCCAAGGCCCACCAAGGAGCTCAAGTGGTCCCTGTAGGCTCTGTTCCAGCCAGGGGTGGGGTTGAAGTCCCCGTCTCACACCCCGTGTCTCTCTCATCAGGACGCCCGTGAACAGCCTCCATGAGGCCCTGGACCAGTGCATGACCGCCCTGGACCTCTTCCTCACCAACCAGTTCTCAGAAGCACTCAGCTACCTCAAGCCCAGGTGAGCCTTAAGCCCAGGCTGGGGTAGGAGGTGTGCGTGCACAGGCGCTTGTGTGAGCCCACGTATGGGTGTAGGGATGGGGGTTGTTGCGTCATGGAGGACCTGTGTTCTGCTGTGAGGGGATCCCCATGGAACTGAATGCCTTCAACCTCTGGGTCACCATGACCCCTGAGAGTCCCATAAAAATGGCCCAGGCTCCCCATTCCACAGCTGTGAGCAGCCAGGCCTCCCCAAGGTCACTGTGACTTCCTCCCCCGTAGGTTCTTTCGGCCTCTTCTACTTTGATTTCTTGTTCCCACTGAATCCACTGGGGGTTTCTTTTCTATCAGTTAACACAGCCCCTTTTTATCTTTCTCTAAAGTGCTAATGACTTGGGTTGCCTTTACTTAAGCCTTGTAGGGTAATAATGACAGTCATTAATTCTTCTAGCATTTACTGCCTTATTTCTGAATAATATGCTTATACTGCTCTGTTTTTAAAATTTGTTCAGTTTTTCAAAAACTGAAATTGAGATAAAATTCAGGTACCATAAAATTCACTCTTTTGTTACTTTTTACTTTTAAACATCATCTATTGGTAAATTTAGCTTTCATTTTAAAAAATCTTATTTATTGATTTCAGAAAGAAACAGGGAAGGAGAGAGAGAAAGAGGGAAAAAACATTGATTTGTTGTTCCACTTATTTATGCATTCAGTGGTTGATTTTTGTATGTGCCCTGACTGGGGGATCGAACCCGCAACCTTGGTGTATGGGGACAACACTCACCACGGAGCTACTCAGCCAGGACAGAAGTTAGCTTTCTTATACCTCTGCCCCATCTCCCTTCCCTCACCCCCCTCTTACCATGCTATCACAGTATTTGGCTAGATCAATAATAAATGTTTACATTATTATAACTATGTAGTTAATGCTCCTCAAAGATTGTAAGGCTACATTTTCTTTCTAGAATTAATCAGTCTCTTTTTCATTTGCCTAACTTACTATATGTATTTCCTGAACTCTTTGTAACCGCTCCCTCAGATCATGCTGTTATGAGTTTTCCCCTAACTGCTCAGACATATCAGGCGAGCACTCAGTCTCTCCTTGTCCTGGAAACCTGCCTCCGGGAGGACAGACAGGTCTGCTGGCCGCCTCCCCGCGGTCTCCGGAACTCTCTCTGCTGCTTTCCTCTTTGCTCGATCCCAGCCTTTTCTCTCTTGTCTCTTCTTCCCTCATTTTATCAGAGCATGTTCCTCCAGAAATTTTTTTTTTATTATTAAAAATAAAATCCTGACCTGAGGATATATTTTTCATTTTTCTTTTTTAGAAAGAGTGAAAGGGAGGGAAGGAGAGAGGGATGGAGGAAGGTATGTGCCCTTGACCGGGAATCGAACCCTTGACCCTTTGGTGTGCCGGCTGGCGCTCTAACCACTGAACACATTTAAGACTCCAGAGGCAGAGCCATTCTGTGGGATGAGGAGGAGGTCAAGGTGTGATCCAGGGGATGGGTGATTGGGCACCTGTTGCTGGTTCATTCAGCAAAACCTCATGAGCTCACCCATGTGCCCAGCAGCGTGCTGGGGTCCGGGGCTGCAATACTGAGCAAGGCCTGGGCTGTTCTCAGTGAAACAAGCCATAAGGGTGCCAGGATTTATACCTGGACCCCAACTCATGTGGGGAGGGGCTGGTCAGGAAGGCTTTAGGACTGGCCACATAATTTCTGGGGCTCATTGCAAGATGAAAATATGGGGTCCTTTGCTCAAAAATGATTAAGGATTTCAAGACAGCAATAGCAGAATATAAAACCAAGCATGGGGCCTTTGTAGGCACGAGGCCCAGTGTAACTCACAGATCACACACCACAAAGCCAGCCCTGGATGGCCGCCTGGAGGAAGTGACATTTATGCTAAGATGGGCTGGATGAGAAGGAGTCAGCCAGGTGGAGAGGACATTTCTAGGCAGAGGGAACAGGTTGTACAAAGGCCTGGCAGTGACGGAGGGAGGGGCTAGTGTATTTGAGGAGCAGAGACACTTGGCCTGGGTGGAGTGAGGGAGCTGAAGCCGGTCCCAGAAGGGGGGGGGGGGGGGGGGGGGGTAGAGGGCTGGGTGATTGAAGGCGGACGAGGGGTATGAGTCCCCCAGAACAGTGGTCACCAACCTTTCGGACTTCTCGGACCACCAGTGGTCTGCGGACCACCGGTTAGCAACTGCTGCCCTAGAAGGTGCTTGGGCTGGAGAGGAGGGCAGTGAGGTGGGGTCTGAGAGGACCAGAGAGTGGGATGGGTGGGCTTTAAGGAGAATCAAGTAAATAGAGAGGCTTGGAAGCAGGGGGGGCTACCCTGCCTTCCAGCCTGGAGCAGCCTTGCCCAGAGAGGTCCTCAGAGTGGGGCCTTAGGCTGGGACCCAGGTAGGAACGTGCCCAGGAAGGATCAGTGAGGGTGGGTCAGAGTCGGGAGGCCCAGATAATGGGGACAAGGCTGGCTGACAAGTAGCTGACAAGGCCCAGAGCCTTGGCTACTGGCGGAGGAGGGAAGGGCTGGAGGCCACTGGGCTTAGCTGACCTCCAGGTGGCCAAGGAGTCCCTGGTTCCATCACCAGCTCTTTTGGGGGCTCTTCCGATGCCCGCCCCATCTTGATAGCTGGGTCCAAGCCCAGACGGTGAGAATCCCGGGGGGCGTGATGCGCCACGGCTGGGTCCAGTTCAGAGCCGGGGGGCTGTTGCTCCCCGGGGTCTAGATGTTATATGTGCAAACAAGAACTTGGAGTGTCTGAAGTCAGGGAGGTTGTCATTCCACTGTGTCCCAAATCCCAGTCCATACCTTAGTTGGGGAGCTTCTAGGTGGTGGGCTGGGAGGGGCCAGGAGCATGCGGTGGCCTTGGGCCTCAGACTGGAAATTCCACTTTGCCTGCCAGCTGCCCAGGGGGCTGTTCTTCCTCCTGGGCCCAGCACCAGACTGGGCTCAGCAGGTGGGGCTGAGTGGGTGTGGCTGAGTGCCTGGCCTTAGGCGTGGGGAGGGGGAGGGAGTGGAGGGGGTATTAAGGGAGAGAGGGAGAGAAAGGCAGGGGCTTGAGAGTCAGGCCTGGTGGCAGGGGTTATCTGGGGAAGCATGGGTCTGTGTGCTAAAGAAACCCCTCTTTAATAAGGAATAAGCTTTTATCCTGGGCAGTGACCCTTGACCCTGGCAGGACATGGAGAAACTCACATTTGTTGATCATCAGTGATATGGCCCTGGCCTGGGCATCCTCTTTAAGCAACCAGAGTCCTGGGAGAGAAGGGTCATGGTATGCATTTTACAGAGGAGGAACTTGAGGCTCAGAGGGGCTACAAGACTCACCAGAACCTCACAGCTGGTAACTGGCAAAGGCCAGATGCCACCCTGTGTCTGAGGGACTCAGAAGCCTGAGTTCCGCCCCCACTGCAGGCCGTGGCCTCCTTTCCACAGCCACTGCCCTCAGATTAAACAGTCCTAGCAAAGGTCTGGGAGGTGAGGACAGTCCCAGGCTGGGGAGGTGTGGCGCCAGCCACTGGTTTCCTTCAAAGTCTTTTAACTCCCTCACCTGAAGGTGACCCAGAAGTAAAAGAGCAACTTAACCTACAGAGGTGTTTTGTGAATGAGACTAGCAGGAAAATGGGTAAAATCACGTGATTTTTCAATCGCACAGTCTATAAACCTTAGTCATCTCTCTGCCCTGAAGTTCCCAGCATAGCCTGGCACTGAGGAGTTTCCTACGTAATTAATGAGGGGATGTAGGGAAGGGAGTGAAACCACGGCAGCACCTACTGTGTGCCAGGTAAGGGTACTCCCCAGCCAGCCCACAAGGACCCGGGCAGACCAGCATGATTGTTCCCATTTTGTGGGAACATAAATCAAGGCCCAGACACGTTCTGACTTCCCCAAGTACAGAGAGGGACTGGCATTGTTCTCATTCCAACTTGCCTGCTGCTCTCTCTCTCCATGTGTTAGACTAAATGTTCCCCACCCCCCACCCCAGCCCCAGCACACCCTTTCGTTGGGGAGGCTGGAGGGAAGGCTTCCTGCCTGAGGTGCACTGGTGCTGAGGCCAGATGCATCCTCACAAGCTCTGTCCCTGAGGTGCCTGCTCTGGGGAGGGAGCTGTGACTCTGCAGATACAAGCTCCGTTTGAGCCTCTCCGCAGTTACAGACACAGGATCCCTGGACAGGGAGCCCTGGATTCCAAGTGGCCTTGATGCTCAGGGAACAGGAGGGGAAGGGAAGGGTATTTCAAGTTGAGGGAACAGCATGTACAAAGATCTGGGAGGAGGGAGACTGTGGGATTTTCTTGAGGAGAGCATGTGGGGTTCAGTCTTGAAAGCGACCAGATCACAGGGCAGAAGCAGAAGTGACAGGACCACCGGGCTGGAGAGGTGGGCAGGGCCTGCATTGTGTGGAGCCTCGGACCCAAGTGTTATCTCTTGGAAGGTGGAAGCCTGGAGGGTTTAACCAGAGAGGCTTAGCCAGAGAGCAGTGTGATCTGAGGGTAGACTGGGAAAGGCAGGCAGTGTGGGGAGGAGGAGGTCCCTGGAACAAGCACGGGGGAAGCCCAGGGGTGGGGCTGAGGATAGAAAAGATCCCGTGGAAAAGACCGGCTCCCTCTGCCTGCACCTGTGGGAGGAGAGGCAGAAGGTAGAGGTGGGCCCTGCCTGAGTGCTGGGAAGTGGGGCCTTAGGCCAATTTTGAGTCTTCACAGCAGCCTGTTGCTGTTATCTCTACAGAACAGAAGGGAAACTGAGGCTCAGATTTGGAACGTCACTTGTAGCCACTTTGCTGGGATCCCAGGTCTTCAGACCTTGGGCAAGTCTCTGCCCCTCCCTGGACCTCCCTTCACCCCCAGGCAGAATGGGAGGGGGACGGTGGGCAGTTGGCACAGGGCCAGCTGTCTCTGACGTTCTAGGAGTTGGTGCTCTCATGTCCTTTCTCTCTGGCAGAACCAAGGAGAGCATGTACCACTCACTGACGTATGCCACCATCCTGGAGATGCAGGCCATGATGACCTTTGACCCTCAGGACATCCTACTTGCTGGCAACATGATGAAGGAGGCGCAGTTGCTGTGTCAGAGGTTGGGCCCTGGGGCAGACAGGGCTGAGGGGTCATGAGGCCCATCCTTCTGCCACCCTGGCCTATCCCAGTGCTTAAAATGCCATTATGAGCACTGCTGCTTTTGGCAAAGAGGCTGTGTCCCCAAGGCTAACAGCCGGCCTGTCAGCACTGCCTCAGGAAACTTGTTATCTGAGCCACTCACTGGGCTCCCAGGGCCAGGCCTGATTAAGAGACACATTCTGGCTCTGTCATTAATAACTCTTTGACCTTAGGTTGGTCCCTCTGGGGATTCGACTTTCCCATCTATAAAATGGGTCCGATGACAGGGTTGTCATGGGGACTGAATGAAAATACAAGTCACAGGACCTGCTGTGTAATTGGTGTTCAGTATTGTTACTGCTTAAATTAATGAATCAATAGACCCTGAGTGTTTGTGCACAGGTGACTGTCATCCACTGGGCACACAATCATGCTTGCCCTAGGCCAGTGGCCGGCAAACTGCGGCTCGAGAGCCACATGCGGCTCTTTGGCCCCTTGAGTGTGGCTCTTCCACAAAATACC